GATTTAACACAGAATGTGATCACAACCTTCATATATGCTTAGAATGCCAGTATATAACCACATATTCATGTAATGACACTTTCATATAAAATGCCTACATATTCATGTTTATTTCACACAGAATGCCATCAAAGTCTTCATACATGCTTACAATGCCACTATATAACAACATGATGATGTAATCAAATGTTACTAAACATGTCATTTACTTTACTCCGATTGCCATAGTATTCATCGTACGAGATTTTTCGGGTATAGTTTAAAACCTATTTACTTTCAGCAAATTTACTCCGAACTCCATTAACTATCAAACGACATTCAATTTCAGTCATTCCTATAAGAAATAAGTAGATACCATTTCTGATTTGATTTTGATGGCAATGGTATTTGATAAATCCAGCTCTTTGTCCTCCATTGCTTTGACCTTCAAGTGTCCTCTACGAAGCGACTTTGTTCAACTAAGCGATTCTCCTTCAACTGTCGTCTAAGTAGAAGTTTTACAGACTGAAGTGTTGAACTGAGATGAAGTTATGTCGACTGAATGCCTCTTCTATCGCAAGCTCTCAACGGTAAGTCTCCCAACACGTCGCCATTTAATTTTTGGAATCTTTTTTTCGGCGGCAATGATAATATCACACTACTACAAATGTGGGATACCACGTCACGCGTTTCACGTCTGTTATTAAAAAACAGTCATAATAACATTTGACAAATGTTTTAACGTCCGTTATTGTGAAAAGCCGACGTAATAGTCTAGATTAAAAACCGCTAATTAAGCCTCTGTCGTCGGTCTTCTTATTTTCCGACGTAAGAACCACTGGTGTTTTAGAGCAGTTTTCTTATAACCGCCGTCTTTTTATTAATACCGGACGGTTCCTTATAACTCTCTAAATTGGTGAAGGCAGATCGCTGCTCTTATACCCCTAAATTGGTGAAGGCGCATCGAAGCTCATACGAAAATCCCTAGCCCGCGCCGCTTAGTGCTATCTCTTGTCGATCCCTGCCGTCTGGATGATGACGCCGTCGATCCCTGCCAGAATCCGTGGACGAACTGATTCGATCCTCAAAAGCGATAAAGGGAGGAAAGGTGCGTAGCAGATATCCCACGATCCAGTCGCCCTACACAGGTATCTCCACTCGCACCAACCTCTTTTCTCCATTTCTTCCACTTTATTGCACAGCTCTGTCTGGGATCCATATGTTTTATTCGGGTTTTGAAATCTTTTGCAGCACCGGTTTCTTGAAGCTAGCTTCGGTTACGCACAGGTTACGAATAGTAGAAGCAGAAAACATCGTTCATCTTGACCTTCAGGTTTCATATGATAGATCGATTTTGTATGATAGATTAACCCATGTATGCATTCATAGTGTTTGATGAAAAGTCTATGTGGACTTGAGTAAAATTTCCACCATCTCTCATGATGTGCGTTTTTTAATTTATAACTCGAATGAACTACGGAGTATATAACTTTTTTGGATTAATTTTATTTTATTTAATTTTGCATAATAGTGTCATCCTATTAAATAGGATGACACTAATAGGATAATGGGTTTGAGAATCAAGCTTCGAGTGCATAGTTCGAGTGTATTTTGTTTCAAAAAGCTAAAGCTCTGAGTAATTTGTAATGTGTCTTTGTCTATGTTTTTATTTTTTAGCTTATTTGAAATTGATCAATGGAAATTGGTCTATACTTTTAACCAATCTTGGCCAATGGCCATATTGGTTTTAACCTAAGACTACTCTTTTTATATGACCGTATTAATCAGCCTTGGCCTTGTTTAAGAGCCGAGTACTTCTTTACTCTCTTTTTCTTAGCAAGGCTTTAGGTACAATTCTAAAGCTTCACGCCAGGTTTTCTTTAGTATTTTGAGCCTGAAACATTTTGCAATTTTTCATTAATGTGTATAACAGATAAAGTACCACTTTGAGTCACTTTGAAGAATTCAAGACGGATGCAGAATATTAAAAAACAATGCTTCGAGTATTAAGTTCATCATTCAGGTATTCCTCGCTGGTCTTTTTTTAAATATTACGTAGTATCAATTATGATGCTGCATAACACCTACTCTGTATTTGTTGTGTTTTTTTTATAATATTGTTTTCATCATATTTTATTTCCTTGATTTTTCCTTTTGATGGGATTTTTACTTAGTATGGACATGCACAGCTTATGAAATTTTAATCAGTTCATTAACTTTATTTGTTGCATAATTAGCTTTTGATTAATCTGCTCAAGTCTTATTAGTAGAAAAACAAGTGTCAGTTTACTGATTTAATAATGACTTTGAATATTGTTGTGTCTTTGTGCCTTGGTGAAGAATACTCAAGTCCAGAGAGAGTCTGGCACCATTGCGATAGAATCCAATCCGATATCCCATGAGTTTGCTTTTGCAATAAATGATGGCCTCTACTTCTATGAGCAGGTTTCTAATGATTTATTAATCTTATGGATGACATATTCATTTCAATAGTAGGATATTGTACTGATAATGTTAGGATTTTTTCAGGAGCTCAAGGCTCGACGATTAAATCACAATTTTTTCCAGCAGTGCACTGCTTCTCTTATTCAAAGTGCACTGTGTGTCTGTGTTACACCTTTTCCTGATGTTTATATTAGTAGTAGAAGTAATTTCATTTTTCAGTACAAGTATGAGACCATATATTAACAAATATGAAAATGCTTAGATTATTTATGTAGACACTAAAATATTGTCATATTGTTATCATTTTTTTAACCATAGTCATAATGTATATATATGGTCTCATACTTGTACTGAATAATGGAATTACGTAGATCATTGTTAGTATACATTTCTTTGTTTTTTATTTCCAGAATGAGTTGAACAAGGGCGGTCTTTATGTATTGGGCGATGAAACAGCATGAGAGAGCGACAAAACAGACACAACCATAATGAAAAGAGTGATCGAAAGTAAGAGATTTTGTTTTGGTAAGAAGACGCTGGCCTCCATAAGAAAACAGATTCTTTTTTGGTTTGTTCTCAGGGAATTCGATCAAGATATACCCCCATTATATTAGGTGTGAATCTCAGTTTTGGAACTTGGACAATTCTGTTTTTTTAAATATTATTTAAATTAAATATGACAATTTGTTTTATTAAAGTTGTTTTAACAATAAAGTAATTTCATAGTTTAGTTCAGTCCGGGGACTTGGACAGTTCAGTTCTTGGACTTACAGTTCCGCTATATGCCATTTGTTTTATTTGACTTGTTTTAATGTTGAAGTAGTTTCAGAGTATGTTTTTGATTTATGTGTGGTATGATTCAAACATTTCAGTTTGTGTGATAGAACCTCTAACCCAACTCCACTTTTATTCCTTTCTTTGTAGGTGCTATTTTGTAGCTACATGACAATGGTTGGATGGAACTCCTTGTCTGCTTAATCGAGACACCGAAAGCCTAAGTTCCAGCATTATAAGTAGTATAAGACGGAGCAGTCTCTGCAGCAGGCGAATTGTTTATTTGCGTGTCATTACATTGTCTTTGGTTCTTGATAACATAATTTGGGGATTTTTGTATGTTTGTATAGTAATAAACATTGTCATTTTTATATATTCTCTCAGGGGGCCATTAAATGCCTGACGTTTTTTTTTTTGTTTTTTAAAAGTACATATAACGTCAGTTTCTATAAAAACTGACGTTATAAGATTTTTTTTTAAGTAATACCTTTTACGTCGGTTTCGTGGAATAACTGACGTGGTAAGGCATAGTTATTATGAAAAACGGTTACTTTTTACGTCGGTTTTACAAAATAACTGACGTGGTAACGTACCTATTACGTCGGTTCAGAAACCGACGTGATACGTTATTACATATTACGTCACTGCATTCCACGTCACTTTAAAAACCGACGTGAAAGGGTATAAATAACCGACGTGAAAACCTACTTCTGTAGTAGTGTCATTATCATTACCCCAGTGCCGCAAAGGCTTAATTTTGAAGAAATTAAGGTTTAATCTTATTCAGGTAAATTTCTCATTTTTTTACCATAAAACACTGACCGGTTTTCTTCGAGTTGACCCATTTGAAAAAGAGTGGGGTCCCTTCGTATATCATTTCGACAGCTAGGCGGAATTGAGCATGATTTTACCCTAACCGATTCAGGGGCTCTTTCGCAAATATAGAGATTAGGATATCATTACCCCAGTGCCGCAAAGGCTTCCATCTACGGTAGGGTAAGGGGGGTCGGATGTATGCAGTCTTACCCCTGTACTAAAGCACAGAGAGACTGTTTTCGGATGACCCATAGTGAAAATCGCGTCCAAAGTTGCATGGACTGACTACTACTTCATAACAAAGAAGCGCAGACAGTTTAGTGAGTCATTTTGCTTTATTCCATCATATTTTCAAGCCAAAAAATAGTGAATCTTTGGCTCCATTACAAATGATGGAAGTCCGGTGGCAATGATAATGAAACTTGGAAACTGGGAATTGCCGTAATGGGATGGTTGTAACCGCAAATGAGATGATCGTACGTGTGCATCGGTTAGGAAGGTCATTTTTGGCATTTTTGCCCATAATTAGTCCTAGTGTCCTACGCACGTTTAATGAAACGTGGTGTCCTATTTTTGCAATTTTAATAAGGTTTAATCTTTTTTTTTTTGAAGAAATTAAGGTTTAATCTTATTCAGGTAAATTTCTCATTTTTTTTACCATAAAACACTGACCGGTTTTCTTCGAGTTGACCCATTTGAAAAAGAGTGGGGTCCCTTCGTATATCATTTCGACAGCTAGGCGGAATTGAGCATGATTTTACCCTAACCGATTCAGGGGCTCTTTCGCAAATATAGAGATTAGGACAAAATATCACCACTTCGCATGCAGCACAGACGGAAATTAAAAACGGTATATATAACGGAAGCTAAATTACAGCATTGTCCCTGCACGAAGATTCCAACCAGCCATTCATTACCCACACTAAAAGGTGAAACTGGTCCATTTGGCGGAAGTAGTGATTGCACGTTTACTTGGCCATCACGCGTATTTTTACTTTCTCGATCTTCATCTATAAAACCAGCCTGCTAGAATAGAGTTGAAGAGCATCATTCGTAATAGAGAGAGAGCCTGGAAAGATCGAGAAATCAGAGATCAGAAAGCAAAAAATATGAAGCAGATATTCGTGAAAACTTTGACGGAGAAGACGATAACTCTGGAGGTCGAGACTAGCTACACCGTTGAAAATGTCAAAGCTAAAATTCAAGAGAAGGAAGGTGAATAAATATAATGTGTTTGATAAAATTGTTCATCGATCTATTTTTCTACCCTCTAGCCGGCCTTCTGAAGGTTGTTTCCGGTGGACCTCTGAAATGTTTTGTCGTCTTAGTTGTGTAATTAGTTGATGCTTGTTGTTAATGTATAGGAATTCCATCTGAGCAGCAACGGTTGATGTTTGCTGGGAAACAACTTGAAGATGGAGGAACTATGGCAGACTACAACATCCAGAAAGGTTGTTTACCTGTTTGTTTAATTTGCTGCATAATTTCTGACCGAATAATATACGGACTAACAATCATAATCATAGTTATCGATCATCATCATCATTATAATACAGTAATAATAATAATAGTAATAATAATAATAATAATAATAATAATAATAATAATAATAATAATAATAATAATAATAATAATAATAATAATAATAATAATAATAATAATAAAGCTTTGAAGCAGTAATAACTGTTGTGATTGAGTGTCTTCGTTGTGTTTATGTGCAGAATCAACGCTTCACCTGGCGCTGAGTCTCAGGGGAGGGGGACGTGGCGGATTAAACTTTCCTCCAAATCTTAGAGATTTGGCTCAAAAATACAACGAGAAGAAGCAGATCTGCCGCAAGTATGTATTTATTTGTCTCTGTGCGCACAATATATATATGGACTGCGCGATGTTCTTATTTCTTAATCGATCAGTATGATCTCGATTGAGCTTATTAATTACTCATTTTTAGCATTAATTTGATGCATTTTGTATATGTTTATTTTTCCGTAGGTGTTATGCTCGCCTTCCTCTAAAAGCCACCAACTGTAGGAAGAAGAAATGTGGTCACTCCAATGAGGTTAAATTTGCTACCACTCACTAATACGGATCGGAGTACTTTAAATTTTTATATGCATGCACTACTTTTTGTAATACATTTTACAGAGTAACATTATATTTTCTGTCCATATGACTGTTTTACAACAAATTAAAACAAATTGGTTGATGTTATTCATCATACTATATACGAAGTACATACGTAGTAATTATTATGGAGTATTACAATAATTATTGTTAGCCTGAATTCCGACTAAATCGTCTCAGCTATTGAAGCAAAACTTTCTGTTTTTAATATTGCAGTTAAGGCCCAAGACGCCATTTCACTCTAAGTATGGCGACAGCGTCCAGTAGAAGAACTGAAGAGCCATAAGGAAGATTAGTGCATTTCGATCGTGTTTATTACGTATTTTAGTTTATCTGGTCAACTCTAGCTCTTGTTATGCATGTAAACTGCAGAATTCTATATTAGGGGTAATATGGGATGTTACTTTATTTCAAATCATCGATGATCTGATCAGATGATTTGGTTATTTCGTTATTTAATACTCTGTACGTATATACTTCGTATATACTATCTGGGTACGAAGTATATGTGTGAATTATTATATCTTGTCATTTACCTTTCACCAATTTCGCTTCGTTCGGATTGGATCTATACACATTTTTTCGTATTGATGAATGATACTGTGTATACCATACGTAGTAGACTAGTACATCGTATATTTTAACTCCCAAATATTTCATCCGTTCTTAAATAAGTGCAACAGTCAACATTTCACACTTGTCGAGACACAACTTTGACCATTAATATATACAATTCTTTATTTGTAAAAAAATTAAAAAAATAGATTTTGAAAATTTAAAATGAGACAAATTTAACAATATTTTTTTCAAGAAAATATATTAATACATTATTTAATTAAACGTAGTCAAAGTACAACATGTGAATAGTGTAAAATTCAACATGTTACACTTATTAAAGAATGGAGGCAGTATATACTAATGATCGAGCACTTCATGCCACATGAATTTTGAATTGTCAGCTCGTAAGGAGATTTATGTAATTTTAAAATTTATCTTGCAGGTCATTGTATATGTACTCGTTTCAGGAAACTGTGACGTCTTTAAAAATTTAATATATATATATATATATATATATATATTAAAATGTTTTTTTGGAAAATATATATTAAAATTTTAAAACTATACATCTAATATGCATATACATTATGGAAAAAAAAATTATTAATAGAGAAGTAGAAGAAAATAATAAAATACTTCATATTAAAATATACGGAGTAAGATGTAATTTTTTTAATCAAAAAATAAAATTATTAAATGTAAAATACGGAATAGTTTTCTATTATGATTTTTTTTCATGTGTTTCTTAGGTTTTGTTACAGGGTTTAGTAAATGTAAAATACGATTTATTTTATCAATTTTTGTTTTGTTGGATGACCATGTATTTAGGGAGAGGTTATCAACAATATATTGATACTTTGCCTGAAAGGGAGGGAGGTATATGAAAATACGGTGTCATTTCGATAGCTAGGCAGAGTAGGCAGAATTGCAGCATGATTTTACTGTTACCCTAAGTCCCTAACCGATTCATGGGCTCTTTTGCAAATATAGAGATTAGGACAAAATATCAGAAGTTAAATTACAGAAGTGTCCCTGCACGGAGATTCCAACCAGCCCTTTATTACCGTGAAACTGGTCCATTTGACGGAAGTAGTGCTTGGCCAGCACGTATACTTGGCCAGCACGCCTATTTTACCTTCTTCGTTTTTTCAAAACAAACAAAAATGGAAAAGAAATACTTGGCCAGTACGTTAAGAGAAATTACTGGCCGGTCCTATTTTTATCTATAAAACCCCATATTAGTAGCCTGCTAGCATAGCAATATTTCGAAACAGAGAGAGAGAGAGAGAGCGCGCGCTTGGAAAGATCGAGAAACCAGAGAGAACGAAAAAATGAAGCAGATCTTCGTGAAAACTTTGACGGAGAAGACGATAACTCTCGAGATCGAGAATAGCTACACCATTGACAATGTTAAGGCTAAAATCCAAGAGAAGGAAGGTCGATCAATATCTAATGTGTTCTCATAAAATTTTCTATCAATCGATCTATTTTTCTCTAGCTAGCCTTCTGAAAGTTGTTTCCAGTATGTTTTAATTTATCGTTTTAGTTGTGTAAGTGTATGCTTGTTGTTGCTGTATAGGAATTCCATCTGAGCAGCAGCGGTTGATGTTTGCTGGGAAACAACTTGAAGATGGAAGAACTATGGCAGACTACAACATCCAGAAAGGTTGTTCACCTGTTTAATTTGTTTGATGCGTAATTTCTGACCGATTAATATACAGCACGGAGAAATAATCATAATCATAGTTCTCATTATAAATTCTCTATTATAAATTATAATACGGAATAATAATAATAATAATAATAATAATAATAATAATAATAATAATAAAGCTTTGAAGCAGTAATAATTAGAGTTTTGAGTCCCTAATAATTACTGTGATGGAGTGTCTTCGTTGTGTTTTGGTGCAGAATCAACGCTTCACCTGGCGCTGAGTCTCAGGGGAGGGGGACGTGGACAAATCACGATTAATCCAACTCTTAGGGCTTTGGCTGAAAAATCCAACGCGCGCAAGAAGATCTGCCGCAGGTGTGTATTTATTTGTTTCTCTGCGCACAATATATGTACTGCGCGATGTTCTTAATCGATCAGTATGATCTCGATCGAGCTTATTAATTACTCATTATCATTAATTTGATGCTATTTGTATTTTTTTGTATTTCCGTAGGTGTTATGCTCGCCTTCCTCTGAAAGCCACTAACTGTAGGAAGAAGAAATGTGGTCACACCAATGAGGTTAAATTTTCTACCACGAATCACTAATACGAAGTATATCCATGTACTGCACTACTACTTTTTCCAATAAATTAAATTTTGCAGAGTAATATTTTCTCTCCACGACTGTATACAACAAAACTAATTTTGGTTTATCCGTTGATGCTGTTCATACTATATGCGTACTAATTTTGTTCGATTTAATTCCGACTAAATCGTCTCTTGAAGCAAAATTTCAATTACTTTTTTGTTGCAGTTGAGGCTCAAGAAGCCATTTGACCCCTAAGGCCTAAGCAACTTCGAGTAGAAGAACTGAAGAACCAATATAATGCATTTCGATCGTGTTAATTACGTATTTTAGTTTATTGGATCTAGTCAATCCTTTTATTATGCATGTAAACAGGAGACTTCTATATTAGGGGTAATATCAAATATGGGGTGTTACTTTATTTCAAATCATCGATCATCTGAGTTGGATATTTCGTTGTTTAATACGGAGTATATAGTTCGTATAAACTTCGTATATCGTACTTATGTGTGTCTCTATAATTATACATTGTCATTTGCCTTTCTCCCATTTTGCTTGGTTTGGATCTATCCATGTTTTATTTAAGTATTGATGAATGATATATACTGCGTGTATACTGTACGCACTACTTTGTAATCCCTCCGTCCCAAAAAACTTTCATTTTCACGCATATTTTTTGCAGGCTTTGTATCGTTTTTAATGTAGTTTCTGAATATGTAAATTTTATTTACTAAAAATAATCTGAGTTTTTACAAGGATCATTTAACTTTATCGTTGGTCAAACTTCGTAATCCGCAATTGGAAGAACATTTAGGGACGTAGGGAGTAGTATATTTTAAGAAATACTACGTAATAACAAATACTATCGTATATGACAGAAATAAGGGTAGTGGATAAAAATATAATTTAATGACTATAATAACTTTAGTGATTATGATTGTTTTCAACTTTACCTCTTTAATGATTATGAATAGTAACAATAGTAATCCGTGATATTATTGTTCACTAGTTACATTTCAATAACATTTAAGGAAAAATTTTATATTACATTTGTCCCGGTGTACTTTGCTAAGTCCAAAGTAGGTGATATGATATAAGAAAAGTAAGGTTTTGTTTGCAAACACTGGAAAAAAGCACTTTCTAGCTTTTGGTTAAAAAAAGCTAAAAAAGTGTTTTCAAGTGATAACTTCTACTTAAAAAAACTTTTCTCGGCTTTTGTGCAAAAAGTTCTTTTTACTTTTTCTATTACACAAAAACCACTTATTTTACCAAACACTACCAACTTTTACTTTTCAAAATCACTTTTTTCTCAAACACTGCCAACTTTTACTATTAATCATTTTTCTCCATATCACTTTAAAAAGTTAAAAGCACTTGGGAGTAGTGTTTGCAAACAAACCCTAAAAGTTGTGTTGTTGAGCTTTGTATAAAGGAGAGAGAAATGAGTGGAACCGCAATTTCGTGGTAGCCCAGTTAGCATTGACTTTGTTGACATGGCACACACGTGGAAGCCTGGACAGCCAGCGGGTGACCTGTTGACGTGGCGGGTAACCTGCTTATTTGCTCAATTTAACATTTTTCCAAAAGTCGGAGATTTGATTGATTTTTTTTAAAAGTATGAAGACCTAATTGACTTTTTCTTGGGAGTATGAGGATCAAATTGACAATTTTCCCAACATTTCCAAATAACCATACAATGTTTCTGTCACGCCCCGGACCTCCCCGGACACGTCAACAACCCGCCGTACAATACGAATAGTCAACCGCAGTCCAACACATTCATATTATACAAGGCGTCTCGAATATCATTCACACGTAAGCCATCCATAAACAAACATAGTAAGTAATTTATAATGCAGCGGAAAACATTGTTTAAAACAAAAAGGCCACACCGGGCTATTCATGAGCACGCAGGCTCCATAGTAAAATATCCATGAGCATGTTTATTAATGTTTAAAACTGAATGGAGGAAGCACGAACCAAGTCTTCCCTCCTAGATGATCCCTCGAGCAACGAGCACAGGAAGCAAGCTCTAGCCTCAACCTGAAAAATGGTGGTGGGACGCCCCCGAAGGGGTCAGCACTCTATAGGGCTATAAAGTGCTGGTGCGGATGGCATCTAATAGATATACAACAAGTATTTCAAACACAAGACCCTCAAATAGGGTGATAATATAATCTAGGCCGTAACCCCAAGTTACCCCGTTTTAAAATATACTTACTTTATATATAAAGTCAAGTAGTCGGCCCGTAGGCCCAAGGTTTGTTTATCAAACATACCCCAAAATCCCGTGACCCCTAGTCACAACAATACATAGGGTTCAACCCTAACACACATGTTTGCATTCTCGAGTCCAACTCGACTACATCACCATGCATCTTATTTAACACAAGTTAACTACTCCACCGTGCATTTCTTGAGTCCAACTCAACTACATCACCATGCACAACAATCACCTCATCATGTCTACCCAATGCAATTCTATGAGCACGGGCTCAAGTACATCTCCTTACATTGGCATAGACCCCAATTCCTAAGCACTCACTATGCCTAGAATTTTAATATCAATAATCTATTTTGGGACATCCCTACGGACTGCCCAACCATGGTCTTAGCATCACATTACATCAAATTTGTCACTTGCATCACAATCAAGTACATCAATTATAATCAAATCCTTAGATTCAATTCCCTTAACAATTACAACAATCATTAACTAGTATTTCAATACTATTAAGATTATTCTTATCCATCATATATTCCATTTGTAAAACCCTACATATTTAGAGATATGTAGCAGCAACTTAGTCATTCAATGTAATACATAAATAATCATTTATGTATCCACACAATTCACACATGAGTAAAGTGACTATTTCACACAATAGTTCATTTAACTCCATTTTTATCAATACTTTACCAATCATTTCTCATTTCATTCCTTGGAAAATAGATCAATATTCCATCAATAATTTATCATCATAATCCATGGAAAACATGATTTTGGCATTTAGGTAATCTCATGCTTAACCTACAAGTTGTAAGCAACTAGATGTCGGTCCTCACCTCAAATGAGCTTTAAAACCTTCCTTCTCGATCCAATGGCTAAAGCCTCGGCCAAGGAAGCTTGAGAACTGATTCCTTGCTTAGAAATGGGTGCTAAACAGCCTCCTCAAGTTGCTATTTCAACCCCTAATCGTTGATACGAAAACAGCCCCTAGAACGGGTGTTTTCCGGCTAACTCGATTCCTAGTTTTCCAATATTGCATCTAGGTTAGTATCTAACCTTTACATCAATAAAATAACTTAATAGGGATGTTTTATACACTTGGAGTAGTGTATAATAGTCCCACCAATCGTTCATATCATTTGGAAAATGAATGGAAAGGTTTTGGGATTAAAAACTCACTTAGAAGAGTAAATCCGTCCCTGCGAGGTCGCGTTCTGCTCGGACGATTTGGAAGCCTTCCTCTACTCCGATTGATGCAAACCAGACCTTCACGGATTCCTCGTCTTGAGAGCTTTCTTTTGGTGTCTCACACGCCTTAATTGGATTGGTAAAACTCGAGATATCAACCAAACAGTCTCAGCACTCTCACAGCTCGAGTTCACAGACCACTGCTCGTTCCAGATCGATTTTTGGATGATTACTCTCTCCTCTCGAACTGAGACCACTCAATTATAAAAATAGACTTAAAAAGCTATCCAAGGACACCTTATACACCTCATTTGGCCGAGTATAACATCACTCATGAAGGGAGACAACCAGCACCACTCTTATGAGCGGAAATAGACTAGGTGGGGTTCCCTTTTGTTTCCTTTGTCAAGTCCAGCCCCTAGAGTCAACTATGGCAGCCTCCTAACCTTATTTTTCTTGTCTTGCAGGTGGAAAAGAAGGGATGGGGCGCAGCATGTGTTCCCCCATTATTTTTGGGAGCAAAACATTAATCAATACATCCAAAAATGGAAGAATGGGTCATATTGTTTTATCTTTTGTCAAAGATGTCTTTTTGGACTCATCCTAATTTATTTAGAACAAGTCAACTTCCTACATAATTGGGCTACAAGCCGTGTGGGTCGCCCCCGAGTGGGCCTACGACGCCGTCCTCAACTGTTTGCTATTTTAGCGGGTTGAGCTCAAAATAATGTATGGACTGCCCGTCCTTCCTCAACTTGTCTTGAAACGTTATGTATAACTATTTAGATAATGTTTGGATCTTTTATTTATTAATAAGGCCCAAACGAGTATCCTCAAGCCCAACACTAATGTACGAGTTCGAGCGGTATCATAATCGATCATGAATTACGTAAAACAACAATCGTTTTACAATTGTTTGGGAATCAGAAATCCAATACATAAACTTTGAATTCTAAAATCAAATTCTCAAGGACGTTCGGGTGCGGTGTCACAATTTCATCCTAATCACATACATATTGAGCATAAATATAGACTAATATGTTTTTTTATTTGGACTTTTTCCGTCCCAGATCTGACCAGATCAGACTAGACCAGATCAGACCGGACCACACCATACTATCACAGTACGTTGTAAAATACACAGAGACCTTACATTTAAGAGACCTGACATTTAATAGAGCAAACAAGAAAATTTCAATCCAACTAAAACATCCTGATAGACTCAAAACTAAAATAACATTTGGCCGATAAGAGTCATAACTAAAATAAAAGATATATAAACGACGCATTTCTGTCTCTCAACGGATATGTTTATTTGTGTACCCAAATTTGCTCCCTTCATCATTCATAAGTATCTATTTTTTTTTTTTGTTAAATGTCAACATTATTGAACTATGATGTGTTTCAACTTTCAACCATATGATGATCTCTTCTTTGACAGCGTCATAATGATGTCATTGAACCACAAGGTGCTTGACAAGTTACACCTATAACATTTGTTAAAAAAAAGGATGACACCCCATCCCTGAGGGCCCCCCAACACCGACCGGACGGCACGATGGGAGGATGTAAATTGGACTATAATCACAATCTGACAGATAGAGAGTGGGGCTCTGTCCCCGGTACTTGCAGAGGCCCTAATAACATTTGTTAGTAATTAGGACTAGTTACATTAGTAAAAGGCTCTAAATAAAGTTGTAATGTAAAATTGCTAAAATGCTTTGTTTTCTAGTAATCTAATGAGTCGAAGTCGAGACGATTCACGTATTCATACATGTTTTTATTTACCATTAAATCAAGTCTAGTGTACGTTGTGAATAATATACTCCCTTCATCTCATTAAGATTGTCACATTTTTCTTTTGTGAAAAATCTCACTAATATTGTCTCATACGACATTTGGTAAAGTGTGTGTGTGGATCTAAATCATTTTTAGTTCATTCTTACTTTATCAATTTAATATCAAACACATAAACTCATTTTTTTAATAACCGTGTCACTCTAAATCATTTTTAATTCATTCTTACTTTATCAATTCAATACTCCTTTCATTCTTCATTAACTTTCTCATATTCCTTTTTTAAAGGAGATTTTATTGATAAAAAGTAAAAGTACAATGCGAGAAAGAAGAATAAAAAAGTACCTGAAAGAAAAAATAAAGTGCTAAAAAGAAGGAAAAACAGT